ATGATATAGATTTGCTTCTTCTCACTGTATATGATTTACTAAGGGGAACTGCGATGAGATAGATGTCCCTTGTTATCGTCAACTTTGAGGATGGTGTATTGCGAAGTCACTCTGAAGCGAAACACAACAACTTGTGTTAGTAGAAAAACAGTGACTAACCATCATCGGCAACACACCACTTTAAAGGAAATTCAGAAAATTTTACCTTAGAGCGAACTTAGCGAAGCAGTTATGCTGATATTTCTTTCTGAGTATATCAATGAAAATGAAAAACCCGATTAATGATCACCATTTCTTGACAGCTTGCTGTGGAAGGGATCTTTTTCCGACATGCCACAGAATCACGTGTATGAGTTTTTCACAAACTGATTCATACCATTTGAGGAGTATTTTAGGTGGAAGAGCCGTGCTCAACATAACAGAACATCCATAGAAGTCGTCGTCTATTATTATATCCAACATCGACATGGTTATCAACTGTCATTATACACTGGTTAATTTAGCGTACATCTCTATTATACGACATATAAAGTCGAATCGTTCCCACCGTAACACATTCATAAGTAATACTGTTGAATACTCATAGGTAATCCATCTCATAACAGACTTCATTCGAAATGCAGTTCGAAATTATACGTAAGAGATTTGTATGTACGCAGATATATTGACACGAAATGTGTCGATCGGAAGCAATTTTTCGGAATAAACGCGATCATAGATTTGATTTCATAATATGATGTCAATATATGAGTTCACATTATGACATGGCTGCGTATTTTGATAACATCGTTTCAAACGTTTTACATCCTCTGTTTTGCTTCAATGAGTGATATCATCTGATAGTGTTCAGAGAAATGTCTTCCATCAAGCACCGCCTTCGTCGTACATTTCAAATCTCAAAATAATTCCCTTTTCACTAGTTTTTTCTCTCACTCGATAATGCTTTCAAAAGCATGTGATGAATTCTGTTCCAAATATCAAACAAAATTTGAGCGAATATAACAGCTGCACTGATTCAGGATTTAAATCAGCGGTTCTCTCTGCAAATTCGTCTTTCTCAGCAAACCTCAGTGAGAATACGCCGCGTTTTATTTTCATTTTGTCCAGCAATGCTCTATTTTATCTGTTGGTGAAACGTAAGAGTACCTATAGCGGAGGTGTTTGCAATTATTGGAAAAAAGCCGCTTTAGAATACGTCAAAAAATGAATGAAGAGGCAATATCGCCTTCGAAAATTGCATTTTCGTTCAGTTAGTAACATATCGTTCTATATGATCAAGTCACAAATAATCAAGTCGTTCATAACGCTGTTACACGATTTGCTTCTGTGCCGAAAAATTCATGAAAGAAAACATAAACACTCGCATAATAAAACACCAAATACAAATGCAAAAGAAGCAATATCGCTCAAATTTATTAACTTGTCAAATAAGAAATGTAACTGCGAGTGAAATGTTGAAATACATCGATCGATAAAATGCATCATTTCAAATGAAATGATGCAAATTTCAAAAACGTCTCTCAAATGCAAAAAATTATGGAGATTGAATTCAACGTTATCGAAATTGACAAAATGGCATTCAATTAATTAACAGGTTGATAAATCCGAATATAATATATAAATTCATTCATAAAGTACTTGAAAAAAAAAGAACACTGAAAATCAATAAATTAACGTCAACAGGACTAACATGACTGACTGAAAATTGAAAGTACTTACATGATTATTAAAAAAATCATTATTACAGCCATTCGACCCCATAAAAAATTATCAAACCAATGAAATTAACAAATAAATACGATACGATAAAATAGTGCTAAATATCAGTGAGTACGAGGAATTAAATGAGAAAACGAATGAATATCACAGGGCGGTTTGAAATCATATGGCGGCAGTTGGGAAGATGATGAAATAGCTGGTAAGCGATTTGCTGAACTCATCCAGTGATTCATCAGAGTTTTACGAAAATACTCAAAAGCACTATAAAATTATCCTGATACTCGACAATAGAAATTTAAAGTACGAGGACATCACAAAGTATCATCCCAAACAATGAATGAGGTACCACGTGAAAAATTACGAAACTGCCAACTGATTCTCAGAAGATGACAAAAATCATTTTGAACACTTAACAATGAACGAGTGAACAATTGAAGCTGCTTCAACGAATCGCCAACAAATAGCAGCATATATGAAGATTAAAAGAAAAAATGATCACACGAAACAAAACAACACGTCCCGCTCTGACTCATATTCGAATTCATGAATGAAGTATGAATGAGCTGATCGACATTTGATAAGTGCAATGATGTAAACAAGAACATTACAAAATAACGACTAATCAACATAAATCATGATGAAAAATGATCACTTTTGAAAACACAAATTCCCTTTAGCGAAAACGTCTGCCAAAATAAAAGCATTGCGAAATTCATTGCATATTTGATATAAAATCAATCGAACAAACGACAATTTGAATGCTAGTTCAAGATAACATCACAAAATTAACGAAATGTCCTGATTACAACGGTAGCAGGAACAAGAAGTCATTTCGACT